GGGGGGCGGGGCTCCAGGGCCGGGCTCGGGGAGTTGGGCACCGGGGGGCTGTAGAGCACTCCATGCCTGTCTCTCACTCCCCTTGCTTGCAGAGGTGGGGCCATGGGGGTGGACTTTGACGTGAAGACGTTCTGCCACAACCTACGGGCAACCAAGCCCCCATACGAGTGCCCCGTGGGCACGTGCCGCAAGATCTACAAGAGCTATAGCGGCATCGAGTACCATCTGTACCACTATGACCATGAGAATCCCCCTCTGCCCCAGCATACCCCCGTCCGCAAACACAAGAAGAAGGGGCGCCAGGCCCGGGCCGCCAACAAGCAGTCGCCCAGCCCCTCGGAGACCTCTCAGTCCCCGGGCCGGGAAGTCATGACTTACGCCCAGGCCCAGCGCATGGTGGAAGTGGACCTGCATGGGCGCGTGCATCGCATCAGCATCTTCGACAACCTGGATGTGGTGTCGGAGGATGAGGAGGCTCCTGAGGAAGTACCAGAGAATGGGAGCAACAAGGAGAATGCGGAGACCCCGGCCACCACCCCTAAGGCTGGCAAGCACAAGAACAAGGAGAAGCGCAAGGATTCCAACCACCACCATCACCACAGTGCCTCTGCAAGCACCACCCCCAAGCTCCCGGAGGTTGTGTACCGGGAGCTGGAGCAAGACACTCCTGATGCCCCACCTCGCCCCACTTCTTACTACAGGTACCGTCTGCATGTGGGTGGGGAGGGGAGGCTCCCTGCTAGGTTATCGGCTAACCTGTGCCAGCGGGACGGGGCAGGGTTGTTCCCTCTGTCTCTCTGCTAATACTTGGTGCAAGTCAGTGGCAATGGCATCTGTCCGATCCTGCTATGGGCCTGTCTAGGGAGGTGAACCCTATAGATTGGGCTGTAGCCTTGGGTCAGACTCCAGGGACTTTTGCTTTTTCTGCCCTTTGTAGTGGCCTGTTAGCCCCGGGGTCGGGGACTGTAAGCTGGCGCCTCATTGGGTCTCACGTCTCTGCCAAAAGCTCCCTTGTTATCCAGCCCTTCCTGGCTGGGACAGAGGCCCATTGCAGGCATGTCCACACTTCAGTGAGTGCCCACCCCTGACTTGAAGTGGGGCTCTGTAGACATTCAGCTCAAGCTCTGGACTCTTCCCCCGCCCAAGCCACAATCTGTGTTGCTATGGTCCTGCCCTGCAGCCTGCCTAGCCATCCCAGGCGTGCTCTTGCAGTGTGGCTGTACGCAGGTCTGCTGCTGCTCTGCTATGCGGGACTGGCTGCCGAGTTTGCTCCAGAATGGAAGCATTTGTTTAAAACACATCACAGTGAGACGGGTTCCCCTCAGGTAGCACTGAGCCGCGGCACGGGAGGGACCAGCCTGCGGTTGCCTTCCAGCTGGGGCTGAGGCACCTGGTGCTGGCTGTGGTTCAGGCTGTCCTTCCCCCAGCCAGCAGGCTATGTTGGGGGCGGGGGCGGCCTCCTCCCCTCCTTGCACTCAATGCACCTGCACCTGCGCAGGGCTACAGGGAATTTAGACCAGGGTGGAAACCTTCTTTGGGTTGGGAGCCACTGACCCACTGAAAAATCAGTCGGGGGCCACAAGTGAGTGAGAAGCACTAAAACCCCAAACCCTCCATGATGTGGCCCCCAACTGAGAAGCAGGAAAAAAGAGACACGTGGCACTTATGCAGCAAGGGGGAAAGGGAGGGTTCCCCTCAGGCTCCAGCCCTTGCGGGAGGGCACCAGGGCTCAGGGTTCCCCTGGGGCTGGATGAACTCTTCTGGGGGCCTAGGACGAGCAGATTTTGTGGGCCCCCGACCGAGGGAGGAGGCTGCTGGATGGGGCTTGTGTTGCAGGTGCAGGGGCTGGGGGCGGATCAGCGAGAGAGTAGGCAGGGAATTGGGCATTACTTGATGCAGCTTCTGGGAGTCATGCTGCCCTGTGTTTGCAGGCACCCCCCACCGCTCCTATTGGCTAAAAAAACCGCCTGCAGGCGAGCTCTTTCTGTGCTGCCGTGAGGGGGATGGTAACAGCAGAGCTGCCTCCTCCCCAGCCCTGCGAGACATTAGCGCCAACTCCCTGCTGCGTCCTCCTGCATCGGGAAGCCAGTGCTGGTGCTTCTGCCAGGTGGCAAGGCACTGAGGCTCGGAGACTTGCCGGAGGGCAGGAGCGCCGTGCGGCATGGGTGGGCGTGCCAGGTCTCATGGGCCAAATGAAGGCAAGCGGGGGCCAGATCCAGCTGGTCGGCCAGAGGTTCCCCAACCCTGCTTTGCTCTGTACAGCTGGGGCAGGGTCTTCCAGCAGACAGACAGGTCGGGAGAGACCCAGCTGCAGCTACACACACGAATGCTGAGATCACCTTTGCATGGGAACCGCTCAAGTGCACACCCCCCTTTGCAGCACCAATCACACTGCCTTGTGCTGCACAGAGACTGCACAGCGTACCCGCATGGAGTGCGCCCCTCCCGCCATGGGGAGAGAGATAGACACTGCTTTCTGCCCCACGCTGCGCCTCCCACGCACTGGCTTTGGACCAAACAAAGCAAGCGTCTTAAGGACAGAAGGTAGATTGAATTGATTACTTGCCATCACTAACAAATAAACAACACTGGGCCCTGGGGCACCTTAAAGTGGGTAAACAGGTGGCAAAGTTTGCAGACAAAACTAAACTGCTCAAGGTAGCTAAGACCGAAGCAGACTGGGAAGAGCTTCAAAAAGATCTCACCAAGCTGAGTGATTGGCGACAAAATTACAAATGAAATGTAATGTGGATAAATGTAAAGTAACAAGGAGTCCTGTGGCACTTTATAGACTAACAGATGTGTTGGAGCATAAGCTTTCGTGGGCAAAGACCCGCTTCGTCAGATGCATGAAGGCAGGTATAAATATGCAGGCCAGAATAAGGCTAGAGATAACTAGGTTAATTCAGTCCGGGAGGGTGAGGCCCACTTCTAGCAGCTGATCTGGAGGTGCGAACAGCAAGAGAGGAGAAGCGGCTTTTGTAGCTGGCCAGCCATTCCCAGTCTGTGTTTAATCCTAAACTGATGGCGTCACATTTGCAGATGAACTGGAGCTCAGCAGTTACTCTTTGAAGTCTGGTCTTGAAGTTTTTTTGCTTCAGGATGGCTACCTTTAGATCTGCTACTGTGTGTCCAGGGAGTGTACAGGGGTGGCCTCTTACCCACCCCTGCGCCTGTCTCTGAGACCCACGGCGTCAGTCCCACACCTGAGTCTCCTACTTGTCACTCCCTTAGTCTGGTGGACGAGCGGCATATTAAGCGCTGAGTTTCCTAGTCCCTCGGCCAGGGAACGCGGGGTAGGGGGGCCCAGGCCCGCCGTCTCTCACGAGCCCCAGCCCAGGGCCCTAAGGACAGGTTTGCAGTGTCCTGTCCGGCTGGTGGAGGGTAGTCCCGAAACACACCAGCCCACTGGCAAGTCCTTCAATGCCCTACCCTGGGCTGCTTCCTACCCCGCTTGCTCCAGCGGCGCGCCTCTCCACTCCTTTCACCCCGTCTCTCCTTCTCTCTTTCTCGCTCTGTCTCCCTCCTCCCTCTGCTTCCCCTCTCGCCTCTTATTCCCCCCCACACCGACGTCCCCCTGACATCACCTGCCGACCTCCACAGCCGGGGGGGCATCTGGACGTCACGAGCGTGACCCGGCATTCTGTGTCGGCCCGGCGTCTGGCCCCTGCCCCCGTCAGTTGGACCGCCGCTGCCAAGCAGTGCACGCAGGGTGTCCATTTCTCCTGGCTGGCCCCGAGGAGTGCAGGCGCTACAGCAGGATTAGTGCGGGGCGGACCGGCTTCAGCTGGGTGGGGCATTCCGCCCCGTCACAGAGAGATTGAAGTGTTCTCCTACAGGCTTTTGTATGTTGCCATTCCTAAGATCTGATTTGTGTCCGTTTATTCTTTTACGTAGGGACTGTCCAGTTTGGCCGATGTATATAGCAGTGGGGCATTGTTGGCACATGATGGCATATATTACGTTAGTAGATGTGCAGGAGAATGAACCAGTGACAGTATGGCTGATCTGGTTAGGTCCTGTGATGGTGGTGCTGGTGTATAGATGTGGCCAGAGTTGGCACCGAGGTTTGTTGCAGGGGTTGGTTCCTGAGTTAGAGTTACTGTGGTGCGGTGTATAGTTGCTGGTGAGAATTTGCTTCAAGTTGGCAGGTTTTCTGTGGGCAAGGACTGGCCTGCCTCCCACGGCCTGTGAAAGCTTGGGATTGTTGTCCAGGATGGGTTGTAGATCACTGATGATGTATTGGAGAGGTTTTAGCTGAAGACTGTAGGTGATGGCCAGTGGTGTTCTGTTGGTTTCTTTCTTGGGCTTTGTCTTGTAGTAGGAGGCTTCTGGGTACACGTCTGGCTCTGTCAATCTGTCTCCTCACTTCCTCGTGTGGGTATCGTAGTTTACAGAATGCTTGTTGAAGATCTTGTAGGTGTAGGTCTCTGTCTGAGGGGTTGGAGCATATGCGGTTGTACCTCAGTGCTTGGCTGTAAACAATGGATCGTGTGGTGTGTCCGGGATGGAAACTGGAGGCATGCAGGTAAGTATAGCGGTCGGTAGGTTTTCTGTATAGGGTGGTATTGATATGACCGTCACTTATTTGTATCGTGGTGTCCAGGAAATGGACCTCCCGTGTAGATTGGTCCATGCTGAGGTTGATGGTGGGGTGGAAGCTGTTGAAATCATGGTGAAATTCTTCCAGAGTCTCCTTCCCATGGGTCCAGATGATGAAGATGTCATTGATGTAGCGTAGGTAGAGAAGTGGCGTTAGCGGATGAGAGCTGAGGAACCGTTGTTCCAGGTCAGCTATGAAAATGTTGGTGTATTGTGGGGCCATACGGGTGCCCATAGCAGTGCCACTGGCCTGGAGGTATATATTGTCACCAAATCTGAAATAGTTGTGTGTGAGGATAAATTCACAGAGTTCAGCCACCAGTTGTGCTGTGGCATCATCAGGAATACTGTTCCTGACAGCTTGTACTCCATCTGCATGTGGGATGTTTGTGTAGAGAGCCTCTACATCCATGGTGGCTAGGATGGTGTTTTCTGGAAGATCACCTATGCATTGTAGTTTTCTCAGGAAATCCGTAGTGTCACGAAGGTAACTGGGAGTACTGGTGGTGTAGGGTCTGAGCAGAGAGTCCACATAGCCAGACAGTCCTTCAGTAAGAGTGCCAATGCCCGAGATGATGGGGCGTCCGGGATTTCCAGGTTTGTGGATCTTGGGTAATAGATAGAACAACCCTGGTCGGGGCTCTAAAGGTGTGTCGATTTGTTCCTGTGTTTGTTTGGGGAGTGTCCTGAGCAGATGGTGCAGTTTCTTAGTATATTCCTTAGTGGGATCTGAGGAAAGTGGCCTGTAGAATTTGGTATTGGAGAGTTGTCTGGCAGCCTCCTTTAGGTAGTCAGGCCTGTTCATGATGACAACAGCACCTCCTTTGTCAGCCTCTTTGATTATAATGTCAGAGTTGTTCCGGAGGCTGTGGATGGCATTGCGTTCTGCACGACTGAGGTTACCAGGCAAGCGATGCTGTTTTTCCACAATTTCTGCCTGTGCACGTCGGCGGAAGCATTCTATGTAGAGGTCCAGACTGCCATTTCGGCCCTCAGGAGGAGTCCATGTGGAGTTCTTCTTCTTGTGCTGTTGGTGGGAAGGTATCTGTGTGTCAGTGCACTGTTCAGTGTCGTGTTGGAAGTATTCCTTGAGACGGAG